AGGATTATAAATGTGTCTTGACAAGAAGCAGCCTGTGAAGGCCTGTCAATCAGTCAGTCCGTGGTGCCTGTTGTAGAGCACCTCTGTCAGTCCATCAAGCCTGTCTCCCACTATGAATGCTAAGCACTGTGTTGCTGTCTGGGTGTCATGGAAGCTTGAACCCAGGAGGAAGAGGGGAAAAAAATCAGAAAAAATGGCCTCCAGCTGCCTGCAGAGAAGGAAAACAAATCTAATTCTCGCCTAATGCTCATTTCGTTCCAAAACAGATGGCGGCCTTCTGCACAAACTTCCTGAGCCTGCTTGCTCTGTGTACTGACTAGTGAATGGTGGCAGATCTACAGCTGTGGGCACTGGATGTCCTTTGTCTCCAGAGAGATGTGGGCAGCGACAGTGAGAGGCTCCATCCAGCCTACATCTACGTCTGGAGCAGAGGTGTCCTGCAGGGCTCCCCGCACGGTCAGAAATGTGATGGTGGAGCAAGGGTGGCAGCGTTAATTGCCTCCCATCCTGCTGCCCAGTTTCCAGCCCCACAGGCAGCTGCAGGGGCTAGGTGACATGATTCAGTGCTCTGGGTCTGGCCCGTGGGGTTGCCCACCAGCCTGGAAATTTGGCAGTCAGGTGCGCAGTGCTCCCACAGCTGCAAGAATTAACTCTACTGTTGCTTAGCCCACGGCCAAATTTCTGGCCCTGTGGGCCAGATCTGGAGGGTAGAGACATGACGTCTGGCCCGTGGGCTGGAAATCTGGCAGTTGGACAAGTGGCTGCTGCCAGCCAAATTTCTAGCCCTGCGGGCCAGGCGATGCCCCCAGCTTTGCACTCCAGACCTGGCCCATGACATGGCCCCACCAGATGAGTTTGACGCCCCTGCTGTAGAAGCTGGAGGAGAGTTCAGATTCTCTCGTTCTGTCCTCTGCCGCCAAGACTGCTGCTGAAAGTGTCCCATGTTGTCATTTATGGTAGTGTTTTTTTGCAGTATAGACAGTGGCCTGCTGTTCAGTCGGGGTCTGCAAATGCCCTACTTGGGGTACTTTGTCAGTACGCTCTTTTTTTCCTGGGCTTTTTCTTCCTCTGTTCTTTATCTGTGACTTCTCTAAAGTCTCAAAAAATAACATCACTTTTATAAAGGCCTTCCAGCTGCTGGGTTGCAGTCCAGGTCATGGAGCTGTCCCTGTCTAGCTCTTTTCAGACCAGTTGTCTTATGTCCCAGTGAAGAGGGTGATATGGGAATGCTTCATGTAGTTATAAAGTTTCACTTAGGGGTGAAACCAAAACTATTGCAATCTATTGCTGGAGTATTTGGGAGGGTAATTTATCTTTGAAGGCAGAAAGGAGGCCAAGGAGTGTCTCTGGCTTCTCACTGGATGCAGGTGAGATCCCATATCAAGGACAGACTCCTTTAATTGTGTCCCTGTACAGAGCACCTCAGGTGAAAGCCTTATATCTACAGGTGTCGATCTTGGTGAGATACGGGGTTCTTCAAAGGCCTGCTGCTTTCCTCTCGGAGCTGCTCTTCTGTCTAGCATTGGGATCGTGTTGCTTTGGGTATCTTCATTGCTTAGGAAGCCTGGATACAGCGGCCGTTAGCGTCTCTGCGATGCATGAAACAACATAACTGAATTTTGCCTTTGTCAGTGCAGAAACTACCATGAGAATCTGCCTGTTGCAGAGGCCTGGCTAGTGTTACATCAGCTGTTTGAGCTGCTTGGCAGTCTCTCTGCTGCGGATGGATACCCTTGCAACCATTCATCAACGCTGGCAAGGTGTCAGTCTGATATAGCGCACCAGAAATGTAGCTCATAACACAAAGATGTTTCTCTGCAGACATTTTGGAAGTGAGCTGTGTTGAGCAGAGAAACTGTTTGCAACCGGGGCTTCAAAATTAGCTGCTCCCCAGATGCCTCCTAAATGCAGTATTCCAGTTGCCTTCAGGACCATTAATATTCATGTTAAGCGACATTGTTATCTAACAGGCCTTTGCTGGCTACGAAGCATTGAGAATGGGTTCTCCTTCTCGGTGCTAAGAGATGTTTCCTTCTCAAGCTCTGTGATGGACTTGGGTTCCTGGACTTCCATCCGATTTCCTGTCCCCCCCCACCCCCCAACCAATCTCCTTGATGGAAATCATATTATTTGTAATATTTCATTCTTTTTTAACCAGCGTGATCAAGAGCCTGCTTGCAGCTGGTGCCGATCCCAACCTAGGAGATGAATTCAGCAGTGTCTATGAGACAGCCAAAGAGAAGGCACTCCATTCACTGGAAGGTAATGCATGAAGCAAATGTTTCCTACATGTACCTTTTATGCTTCATACAGTATCGGCTTCACTCTCTGTGGGGAAATTATCCCATATTTTAACGCCCGCAGTTCAGAGAAATCATTGAGTTATTCTGATTCACTCCAGCATTGCTTTCCACTGCACGGACACTGTTAGGTGTTGTAGGCATACGTGTGTTACGTACGGTGTCCCCAGAATACTGACTTGAAATAGCGAGCTTCGAAGTCTATGAGGGAATGGGATGTCTTTCATATTGGTCTGCCCTAGTTCAAACAGCAATTCCAAGCTCAATGCAGAAAGCCCTGGTGGAAGTTGTTTGGCCTGAAAAAGAGCCCCTTCCTTCCTAAAATTTGTGAAAATGTTGGCAGAGGACAGGGCTCCCAGGTAAGGGGTTGCCCAACCATAGGAGGGGTGCTTGACCCTACCCTGGCTTGATTCCAGTGAAATCAGTGGCAAAAACAGCACTCATGGACCTTTAGTGGAACAAGGTAACTGGTTTCCCTGTGGCTGCTGAGGCTGGGGAGGGGTACACCTGGAGGCCACCTCACCTCCTTGGCTTTTTGCATCACAGTGGAGAGCTTTAAAATAGTTCAAACAAAAGATCAAAATCATCCCAGGGCCTGGTATCATCCTGCAGAGGGGTGTAGATGGTTGTGCCGTCCTTGTGCAAAAATCCTGATGTTCTCACAAGCTAGGGCAGGCCTAGCCTGGGACAGTATCTAGAGAGAGGGGGCTGCAGGGGATTTACTAGCTGGCACTCTCCTCTGAGCCAGCAGTAGTGTGGTGCAAGGGGTTCTGTGTTGGGGGCATGTCTTTCCATAGGATAATGGGAAAGGAGCTGCACAGACATACATGTCACATATATGTGTATGTATCCCTTTCGATAGGGTAAGTGCATAGAAGTAAGGTGTGTGTTGTTTGGGGCTGACGGTTGGATTTCCCTTTAGTGGTCTCGAGTGTAGATGTGCTGTGAGTCTGGCCTGCTTCGCTGTTCAGTGATCTGTTATCAGAATAGAAACGTGGCCTCGCTTTTAGGGACTGCATCACCTTCAGCTTAAGTGCGGACTATTTGACAGCATGTCTTGATGAGGGAAAAGATAAGTGCAGATGTGTGCGCACAGAGATCTGTTAGTGTCCTGGAAGTTATTTGGAAACATTAGAGGCCTGATAAAGATGCATACACAGTCACTTTCAGGTGGAAGATAGAAAAAGCATCTAATCCATTCGAATGCAGCTCTGGGATAGAACAGGACAGCAACCCTGCCCGAGTGTTTAGATGTGGATGTCAAAGGAAGACCAGCTTCTCCATGCAAAACAACAAGGGAATATTTATGTGGACAAGCTGAAAAGCCCTGCTGGTATTTGGTCAGGGCATCACAAGTATCACCTGTGCTCTGCATGCTGTGGATCTTCCGCTGCCTTCATGGTCAGCATCTCAGTTTCATTTCTCTCCTGAAACAGTCCCCCACACATCGTATCAGCACCTGGGTTCAGTGCCTCCGCTACCAGGTCACCAGTGTCATGTGCCACCCAGATGATCTGCAAGTCTCTCCCCTGTTCCAGCACTGTGTACATCCTGCCCCTCTTAGCTTACGTGCTCATAGTCCAAGGACATGACGTCCCAGGAGAAAGCAGGTTAGTGTCATTCTTTGTCACCAACCCAGAACTTCAGGCTTCCCTGGGACTTATCACCAAACTGGGAAAAACCCTGTGACCATCAGCTCAGAAATTAAGCACGTCCTGCTTATTGTGAGGAGCTAATTTGAAAGAGCCTCTTACCTCGGCAGAGGTGCAGTATGAGTCCGTCACAGAGCCAAAACTGTGCGGTGAATTTTACCCATCGGTTTCAACAGCACTTGTTCCCACAGCTGCGAGCCAAAAGCCAACTACCGTCCAGCAGCGGTGTAATCTTTGAACCTGTGGCTTTGATAAAATGCACGTTCGGTTAGGACGATGGATCAACGTGAGAATGGTTTTGACAGGGCGTAATTCTATTTTTAAAAGCTCCCTGCCCTCATCCCTCACTGTAACGCCGGTACAACAGCCCCTTTGCTCTATAGGAACACGCGCACATCAGGCAGCTAGAGCAACGAATGCAAAATGCATGAAACGACATTAAAAAAAAATGAACAATGGAATGCCAATACATAATGCATGTACGCAGACTTTATTTAAGACAAAATATATCAGCCAATAAAGTTAATTGTTTTTGTCTGCATGCAGCCCTCTCTAAACCAATAGGTATCTTTTTTTTTTCTGGGTGTGGGGAAAGATAAGGCCACTCAGTAAGAAGTTGCATTAATTCTTAGGTTGACATGTTTTATTAAAAAGAATAAATTCAGTTGCATTTTTAAAAAGAGAGGAAGGGCGAAACTGCCTTTGTTTTTTTAACAATTTGCATATTTTGCGTATAAATATTTTTTCATAAAAACATCCAAATCGGGAGGCTCCGCACCACACACACTGCACAAAATATATTACAGACATTTATATGGATGGCAGGAAGGGAGACAGAGGGCTGAAAATTTCCAGGCACCCAGTGATTGATGGCAGACGAGGCTTCCCCTGACGCTTTATTGAGTTTCCGATGATTATCTCTCGCTGAGACATTTTTTACAGATGACGGCCGAGCTGTCACAATGGACCATGGGGGGAAAAAAAACCCAACAATAATAACACTTTAATCTTTTTACTGCACTGCTCCCTAGTATCTCAGATTCATCTTCCCTGACGCACGCAGTTCATTATCCTGCCCCTCCCTGGATGGGAAATGAAGACAAATAAATAAATATACATACGCACCATGTACGCTCATCGAAGATACCTGAGGAAGGAGGGGAGTGTGCCGCTAATTGCTGTTTTTTTCAGGGATTGAGGTTTATTAGCGGCCGTGCAGGGCTGGGGTGGGATTAGCTATTAATTACAGCATTGTGCTGTTCAGTCGGTGGTGTAACTTTCAGCTGGTTTTTGGAACACAACAGATGTATCCCAGGGACCCCACGCGACAGAAACTCCTGTGGTCTGTGACCATTCTCGTTACTCTTACTAATTACTGAGCCTGCAGAGCTCTCCGGAAACAGCTGGCAACATCCCTGCCCACAGGAGGCTGTAGTTGAAAGGCCTGGTCTGGTCCTGGCACACATGCAGCCCTCCCCTGGGCACCAGAGTGAAGAGTGCAGCGGGGAACAGAAGGCAGCCTGCCTCGTAGATGACGAGCTCAGCTTATGGGGGGGCCGTGAGGACGGAGAGGCTGTGCAGGTACTTTGCACTTCAAGACAGATGGACATGGGAGTCTCCGAGTGAAAGACTACTGAACCCATGAGGCTGAGGATTGATTCCCCAAAGTGCCCAGGGGTCCTGTGGGGTATAACTAGAAAGTCTTTGCCTTTTGTTCCTTGATATTGGACAGGCAGACACTGGTACCCACTGACTCCTGTGGCTGAAGTTAGGTTTTACCTCCATTTATCTGATTTTTTTTTCAAAGCATGGGATAGTCTATCAACCAAAACCGACTGAATGAGACAGTTGAGTGGGGATCAGGCTGGGGTGCGGGAAGCGGGGTAGGCAGACTGATTCCCCAGACGGAAAAGATGGTTGCTTAACTCAGAGGTGTAGGTTGTAGCTGTTTTGGTCTAAGATCATAGGCAGACAAGGTTCTTTGTGTAAATCTGATCTATTTTATTAGGTCAACTGAAATAGTTGGAAAAATTCTTCTTAGCAAACTTTTGGGTATAAATACCCTCTGTCAGGCTGAGGAAGCATCTGCATCCTTGCTCAAATCAAACGCTTGTCAGTAAAGCGGATCCTTTTGCTGCTCCTCGTGTCTTTTTTGCTGAACTGGTCGAGTGGGTCGAATTCCTGGGAAGTGAGGAGCTGATCTAGCTAGAGCCCAGGCAGTGCAGATTACCCCAGCACACAGCATCTCCCAGTAGCTGTCAGTCTGACTTGCAGTGTCCCCTGACCTTGCACCTCCAATTCGCAGGTAAGAAAACACCTGACTTGCACAACCTCTTGATGTTTCAGTGCAGACCACTCGGCACCCAGCCCTTATAGCATCTGCCTTTGAGCATCTGGTGCCAGCTTTGGTTTGGACTGTGAGCATGTGTCAGCTACCTTGTGTCTTTTGCCAAGTACTTGAGTATGTAGGTATTCAGCTATAGAGCTCAGAGTGAGACAAAAACTATGTAATCATGGTTGGAAACCATCTGCAAGAGCTTTTTTCTGCTCGTAAGAACATCGCAGTTTCAGGGTATCTACCAAGGACTGAAACAGCCATGGTTCCACGCTTTCTCTTGGATCATGACATGGATAATGATGATTTCTATTACAATAGCATTCAGGACCCCCATTCATAGCCAGAGACCCTGTTGTTCTAGGAACAAACCCAGAACAAGAAGTCCGTGCCGAAAAGATAACAAACAGGTGTATGCAGATGGAGAGACGGGAGCGCCCTTAAACTGAATACGATACCTCCTGGTCTCAGGCTGGCGTCGTTCCTTAATGTTGGGGGCACAAGGTATTTCTCATAGAGGTGGGTTTTTTTAATGGCAACTGCGTGAAGTTTGCGAGAGGTTGGAATATTGGAAGCCATCCTGACGGAGATGGATTAGGAGGCAGACTGCAGGTGAGGGAGGGAAGCTCAGTGATAAATGCTGTTTAATATTCCTGTGGCAAGTGTGCGTGTCCAGCACACAGGTGCATGCGGAGTTATTGTCTGGAGCTGCACACAGAAGTTTGAGTGGGTGGCTTTCTCCATTTTAATTGGGAAGATGGACTATCCAGCCAGAACCTTCCTATTAGTCGCTTGTCTCCACTGCTCATTTCGGGGGAAAGGAGGCAGCAGAAGCCGCGGGGGTCTGGGAGCTAGAGCTCCTGCTTCCACTTTGGTGTCTGTGCTGCTTTCAGTGGGAGTGGGAAGAGTGGTAAGACCTCCTCTGCTTGTCAAAGGAGGTCCCTGGGCCCCCAGCAGCTTGCCATGCCCTCTTTGTCATGCCTGCTGTGAGGGCAGGGAGGAAGCCCTCCAGAAAGCTCCCTCCCCTGGCATACCTGCAGTCACTAACCAGGGGCAAGGATAACAGTCCACCAGAGCAGCCTCACCTGGGACCCTCTCTGCACAACTAACTTGCCATCCTGGCAGTGGTGCTATGTCACTGCAGGCAAGTTGCTACCTAAACCAGAAGTCACCCAGTCCTGTTAGCCTGGCTGAAGTGCCACACTCACTAGCACTGCTCAGTGACCCTGGCTGTCACAGGAGGCACCCAGCACAGAACAGCACAGCAGGCTTGAGGGTGCTTTTGCCAGGGACGGTGATTTTTAGTGTGTAGAGATGGCCTGAGATTTCCAGAGAAGGCAAGCAGGCTATCTACAGCCTCTAGGCTGGGTGGATGGAGAGCACTTGCTTTTGCCCGAGTGGGTCAACAGGCTTCTTCCAGCGGCATTGTCTCTTCTGCTGGTGGGGTTGGAGTGCGAGGAGTTGGTTACCCACAGCCTCTCCTCACCATCCTGCTGCTGGGGGACCCACAGTGTGAGCTGCTTCAAGGGGAGCTTGTTAGCAGTGTGCATCATTTCACTGCGTGGAAAGCATCTCTCACGCTTCGCCCTCTCCAGTTCTAGTGACCCGGGAGGACGAGTTCAACAACCGCCTGAACAACCGAGCCACGTTCAGGGGCTGCACAGCTCTACACTACGCCGTGCTCTCTAACGACTATGGGACCGTCAGGCTGCTGCTGGAAGGAGGTAAGACCCAGAGCTGTTACGGTGCTGGGGTCAGGACCACAGCTGCTGTCTAGGATTGGGCCAGTTCTCTTTGAGGTGCCAGGGTCAGGCCCCCAGATGCTGGCCATGACCTCCCTCCTTATTGATTTACAGTATTCATTATGAGTTACTGCTCTGAAAGATTTATTTATCTGCTCCCTTTGACTTTCCTTTCATGTCTCCAGGCTTCTTTTCCATAACACCTCTGACACAGGGAATACCCTTCCTCCTTCTCTGTATTATATATCCCCACTTCCCTCGTGCAGAGAGATGCATAATAAGCCCTAATTCCTGGAAGTTAAAAGCAGACTAATTCAAAGGAGGAATAAGGTGCCATATTTTAGCAGTGAGGGCGAGTAACCATTGGAACAAATGCAAGGAAGCCGTGGCTTCTCCAGCACTTGTCCTCAGATCAAGACAGGATGCTTTTCTGAAGGATGAACTGTAGCCATACACAAGTCTTTGGGCTTGAGAGGGACACCTGGGTGAAACTCTTTGGCCTGTCCAACTTGGTGATCTAATAGTCCCCTCTGCCCAGAATGATAGAAAATGAGGGTGGGAAGGGACCTCTGGAGGTCGCATCTAGTCCAGCCCCCTGCTCAAAGCGGGACTGGCCCCAGCTACATCACCCTAGCCAAGGCTTTGTGTAGCCGGGTCTTCAAAACCTCCAAGGATGCAGATTCCCAAGACTGATTGTTGATTAGCTTAGGCAGACATTCCCCTAAAGGAAAAAATGTTGCCAATAAAATTACCAGGCGGCCTCATGGGGAGCACACTAGCTAGGACCCCAGGGCCCAGGTGAATAGAAACAGAAAGGGGTCAGCATCTGTCCAAGCGTCCTGCTAAATGATGTAATGACAAGGGCACCACATATCCCAGAGCTGCACTGTGGACAGTCCTTAACGTCACTGTAAGTGCAGCATCATGGGGTCCGGTGCTACGAATGAACAGGACAAGCAGCGTGTAACGCAGCTTCGCAAGGAGCTGTTCAGCCATGGTGCCAGTGGGGTTTGGAGGGTTCAAATTATAATGAAGGAAAACAGGGAGTGCCAGAGAGAAGAGGCCTAGCCACACAGGAGGCTAAACACAATCCTTATAAGTCAGTGCCCATGAGTGGCATCTGGTTAGTCATGAGTGGGATGGCAGAACAAGGAGCAATGGGCTCATGTTGCAGCAAGGGATGTTTAGGTTGGATATTAGGAAATGCTTTCTCACTAGGAGGGTAGTAAAGCAGTAGCACAGGTTACCCAGAGAGGTGCGGGAATCTCCATCCTTGGAGGTTTTGAAGACCCAGCTAGACAAAGCCTTGGCTGGGATGATGTAGTTGGGGCTGGTCCTGCTTGGAGCAGGGGACTGGACTAGATGTGACCTCCTGAGGTCCCTTCCAGCCCTCGTGGTCTACGATTCTAATGACGATGCCCAGGTTAAGGGCCTGAATGGAGGCAGGGTGGTGGTGTCCACTCTTATGAAAGGATACATCTGGGTGGTGGGTGAGGCGAAGAACTATGTTTTGGCCACATGAGGCTGGAGCTGACAGGACATGAGCGGACCTCAGAGTCAGGCTGCAGTTTTAGTTCACTACCTAATTGTCCTCTATGCCTTTGAAACATGTCCCTCACCCCAGCAGGTGCCCTTTTACAATGCCCTGCTCACACTGGCTTTTCTGAGGTGTGAGCATGTCTATATTGGTACCAGCAAATTGCAGGTATAGGCATGTGTATGCCCAGAAGGGAGGCTGGCCTGCAAGACTTGTCAGGCTGCAGGCTGATGAAAAAACATCTTCCTGAGGCCAGATTATTAGTTGTTATTCCTTTTTGCGTGACAGTTAAACAACACGAGTTAACTGCGTTAGACCAGAGTACGAGTTCTGTGTGGCCAAGCCCCCAGGCCAGGTTGACTCCGTCCTAAATGTTGCAAATCTCTCCAAATACAAATGCAAGGTATGCTGCACTAGGTGCACTGCCAAGCTGAAGCCCTAAGCCTGCCAAGACTTAAGGCCATGCCCAAGTTTGCATGCTGAGTATAACCACTCCTAGCATGCAAGGTTAAACCCAGACTTGCATCTCTGTGGGACCTGAGTTTCAATTTGCCCCGCACCCCAGATCAGTCCAGGCACAACGTCCACTTGCATCATGATGGAGGAAAAACAAATGGTGTTTTACTTGCTGTTTAAAAAGGCTCATCTATAGGCAGGCTCAGTGCCGCCAGGCGGAGGTGGTTTTAAACCCCCTGCAAACTCTCTCCTCTGCTCTTACATGTTTTCCGTGCATAGAAATGAGGCTCCTCATTGGATTGTTTCATGGTTAATACATGACGCAAAGGTTTAATTGCATTGACTCAGCATTTCCTCCTCGGTTCTGCGCATTAACAAAGCGGCAGCCCGTGTGTGCTCGTTTGTATAATCCAGGATGAATACATGGCGGTGAGCCTGAAGATCTCAGAAGTGGGGATCGAACACCTCTTAAAGTGTGCCTGCCGCGGGCCCTTTGTGAGGATAATTTCACCCCATGGCCTGCCATTGACATCTGAGAGTAGGACGTTTCCTGTTTGCTGACATGGAACAGGCTCCCTTCGCTCCCTCCTTTTACACTTCCCTCCAACAGCCTTTTTACTGAGGGTCCATTTACTCTCTCCAGCATTTCCTCCAGTTGCTGCCCTGCCCTCGGGGCCAAAGCCATTAACCACCAAGGCTTCTTCCCCACTCTGCGCTTAAACAAGTACCCGCTGTTCAGGGCTTTTTAAGGCCAGCTTCCAGGGGTCTAGCTGTAGGCAGCTGCCCCCTCACCCCACCTCCTTGGCCTTTTATGGCCTATTCACTGGCTCACTTGACCCTGCCAGGACCTTCTCGCCTTGTGGTCAGCCTGTGCGTGTCCAGCAGACCGTGAGGCTCAGTGGCTGCTCCCGTTTTCCTTTTGGGCAGTTGTCGGTGACATTTCACAGTCTCCTGACCTGAGCTGACATCATAAATAGTGTTTATCCAAGAGAGTGGGTGGGACGCCAATCTACCCAGGCCCCCTGTTGCCTTTCAGCTCGCTCCATGCAGGATAGGTTCGAAGGGGTTGTTTGGTGTGGCTCCGTGGAAAGAAGGGCCTAAACCTAATAGCATATGCAGGTCCCTGGGTGCTTAGAGATGGGTTTTTAATGTGTTTATATTTTGATTTGCCGCCTTATAACAAGGGTCGTTTTCAGAGGCTTAACCTGCGTATAGGTTTTAGGGCATCCCCAGCTTAATATTTTACCATCCCCTTCCAATGCAGCGTCTTGCAAACCTAATTGAACCTCTCAGCCTGCCTCTCGGAAGGATGTCATCCCCTTTTATCACGGAGACGCTGAGAAATACTCTGAAGCAGTCTTCCCAGGTTTGCACAACGAGCCAACAGCAGAGCGGAGACTGGAGCTCAGGTCTTCTGGCTTCCAGTCCAGTGCTGTAAACACAAGTCGGTCGGTTGTTTCTGCTGGGAGACTCTTTGCTGTGATTCATAACCCACTGCCCATATCAGCATTTATGCGGTAGCATAGGTGTGCAGGGGACTTTGCAAACACGTGGCACAATCCCTACCCTAGCAAGATCTTTTTTTTTTCTTCCAAAAACTACAGCACAGGGGCTGAAAGGTAATCAGGGGAGTTCTGGGTGCGGTGCGATTTGTGCAGTCAGTGTCCACTTATCTCTGACTCGGCTGTATGAAGATAGCAGCATGCGCCATAAGAGACCACAGGCTTGTTCAGTGGTGAAGACGCAGAGAGGCTTCTGATCTGAAAGAGACTGTACTCATGCTCCTGTTAGCCTGTGCATGTCTGCGATGAGGTTTTAACACAAGCTTCCCAGCTCTTCTTTTATACGGATCAACCCTTACTGTTAAGCAAAATCAGGTTGACTGAAAGAAACTGCAGATTACATCCCGTTGGTATCGCGGGCTGCCCTGTACCTGTCACATCCTGATCTATGCATTCCTCATCTTTCTTTATCACACAAGATGGTACAAGGAGCAGTGGTCTCAAGTTGCAGCAAGGGAAGTTTAGGTTAGATATTAGGAAAAACTTTCTCACTAGGAGGGTAGTAAAGCACTGGAGCAGGCTACCCAGAGAGGTGGTGGCATCTCCATCCTTGGAGGTTTTGAAGACCTGGCTAGACAAAGCCCTGGCTGGGATGATGTAGTTGGGGCTGGTCCTGCTTTGAGCAGGGGGTTGGATGAAAAGTGACCTCCTGAGGTCCCTTCCACCCTCGTTTTCTATCATTCTGTGATTTAAAAAAAATATATATTATGTGACCAATAACAGTCAGGTGTTTTATGATTCAAGAATAGTCAGCAGCCCCAAACTCGGGCGCAGGCTGCTTATTTGTATGTTAAGCTGCTTTGTGGACAGCAGCCAGGTTTTCTCCGCTGTAGCTTCATGTCTCCATTTCATATAACTCTGCTGTACAATGGGTATAATAGTACTTGCCTCGCACAGTGGTGGTGTGTGCACCTTGAGCTACTTAGTTGGAAGATGCTGTTGAGAGGCCAGTGTATCACGTATTGATTGCCCATCCTCTTTGACTTGACTTGAATATGCTTTCCCCAAAGTACCGCAGCCCCAGCCCCAAATAGGTCCCTTCCAGGCTGAATCCTCTTCAGTGGCATCCTGCTTGACCTTTCTGCTGCCTCTCACAGCAGCTGTGTCAGGCTGCTGCCCCGAGGGCTGGCGTTGGGGTCATCCCACTGCCGGCCGTTCTCTTTGGGATACTATTTTCTCTTCACAGCCTTTTAATTGTGAGGAATTTTGCTGGTTGTGATACGCTCATAGTAATTTAAAGCCAAAGTGGACAAAGCAGAGAAGAATATACTGTAGGGGACAATCTTGCAGTGGCCAGAGGGGATGGGTTAAATGAGACCTAAATGGCTTTTCCTTTCTTTGTTTCTGCGTCTGAACACCTTGAATGCAGAATCACAAAATGCTCCCCCGCACCCTGTTCCCTCCTCCCACATACGCACAAAAGACCG